AAAGCAGCAGAACAGCCAGCAGCTTCCCTGGCTGTCGTACCACCGCAAGCCCTCCCCCCGCGGTAACATGGGATGGGGAGGGCATGGGGGCCCCAGGAGGAGAGAAATCTCATGGAGGGGTCACATGCTCCCCTTCAGCTGGTGTCTCCTCTCCTTATCCCCTTTGTATCAGGAAAAACTTCGTTTACTTACACCAGAGGGAAAACATTCCAGGTTTCCAGGTGGTGGTGGTGGTGTGAAGGAGGAGGAGGACTATTTTATTTCCTTAGTTTGCAACCCTATTATATTTCAAGAAAACTTAAAAGGCTTAAAAGGGAAAATTGTATCTTTCCCCTACAATGTTCTTGAAAAATGAAATGAACTTTTACACCAACTCTGACCAAGAGCTGAGAGAGATTTGAAATTACATCTGGATGGAAACCTCAGCCTTGGCTATCTCCATTACAGACACACATCAGAAACTGAACTAAATGAGCAATAACCACAATAGCCCCTGTATTGCTTTACATGACATCTCTCAAACTCTTCCACCCATGGGCCAGAGCGATTGTGTTATAGGGCCCGAGACTCCCAGTGGACCTGGGTAGGGGGCTGTTACCAGCCTCAAAGCCCCACCCCTTCTCACTGGCCCACCTTCTCCCCCCATGACACACCATCCCTGAGCATGTAGCTTTGGAGATCACTGGAAGGGAGAGGGCCTGGTGCCACACAGAAGCAGTTGTGCCTCTCTGCAGCAGGAGCCGTGGGGGAAGCAGAGCACACTGGGTGGGTGCACTCGCTCCATTGTGCTCCTGCAACTGTGGGGAAAATAGGGGAGGCCCAATCAATGATCACAGGTCCCTCCAGCGATCCCCAGAGCTGCATGCTCGGGGGTGCGGAGCCATGGGGAAGAGGTGGAGTGATGGGGGTGGGGAGGAGGGAGTGGAGGAGTTCAGGGGCTGTCTGTTAGTGGCCCCCAGAGTCCCAGGCCAGATTCCGCAATCATTCTGGCTGGCGTTAAATGATCTAAATGGCATATTTAGTATTGGGATGTAAGGCTAATGAATATGTAAATCAGCACTGTCTCATGACTTCCACATTTACATGTTTTCAGGAGCGGTGGAAGAAAGCACCGCGGGGTGGATGTAATATGCAGTGATGGATCAACAGTGTACGCTCCCTTCAGTGGAACAATCGAGAGACGGGTTAACCCCTATAAAAAGAATAATGCCATTAATAATGGTCTCCAACTTCGTGGAGGAGGTAATGGAAGCTACCAGAGATACATTTTTTATAAACTTTAAGTATTGGTAATCGAATAAGTTCACCCTCCATTCTTAACCAATCAGAGAGCTCTGGAAGAAGCAGGACCTAAATAAAAGTTAGGCAAAACAGAACTGTATTGCCAAGACCCACATTTCACTCAGAAGAGCCAGGGGTCCAATTACAATTAATTAACTCTTAAAAAACCAGAACAGGCCAAGTTGTCCATCAAAAGAAACACTCCTCTTCCCTTCCACTTAGACAATGGAAGAGAAATGAGAAGGCAAAGTGAAGAAAACAAAGAGGAAAATGGGGGGAGAGGGAGTATTAAAAGAAGGAGCTTGAAATATCCTGTAGTTTGGGTATATATACAAAAATTCTTCCCCCTACCTTGCCCCAAAAGACCAAGTAAGCCCAATTTCATGAAGGAGTTTCTTGATGTCTGGATTGCACTAGTGTGGTCAGCATTGTTTGCACTAATGGTAGGATGACATTAGGAGACGATCTGAAAGAGATGATTATCTTTGATGTGTTCTTTCTCCCCCACCCTCTTCTACCCTCAAGCTTTCTGCATCCAGATGTTCTACATCAAGCCAATGAAATACAGTGGTCGTATCAACAAGGGAGAAAAAATTGGAGTTATGCTGCCCATGCAAAGCGTGTATCGTGGTATAACATCTCATGTTCACGTCCAGAACTGTGACCTCTCAAATCCCACTCACAATTTATAAAATAAGACTGTACATTAAATAGAAATGTACAAAATCCCAAACAAAAATATCTGAGCAAATATAAGGATACAAACACATCTCTTGCCCTCCACTCCAAATGGGCTAGATTTTTAAAAAATATCCACTTTGAGAAAGGAAAAGACATTTTACACAAATAGCAAAACAAAAACGTGCGTCAGCCCCAGTAGCTAGCCATATCAGCTTTGCATGCTGGTGCTTATTTGTCTATGACATTATAATCTCACGCTTAGCAATAAAGTATTCCAGAAATAACAAGTCCAATTGCAACCTTTTTATATCAATACTTGCATTAATATTGTATCTTTGTCTAATACATAAATTAGGATTTTTTCATTACACGCATGGATGCTTGGTGTGAACTCTTAAAGAAGAAAAGTGCTCTCTCTTTTTGCATTTCTGAATGAATCCAGGTAATAAGAGAAGCAGGGCAACTCAGAGAGAATGGTAGAGTCCTAAAGAACAGTTTATCCATCATAGGAACACAAAGGTATTATTTCTATTATCTTGTTGTAACTGAAGTTTATAGCACAGGCAGTAGAATCATTTACATTTCATACCAGGCAGGCAGAATTTCTCTCGTGTGTGTTCTAGTACTTCTCACTTTGCTTTAAAAGGATGCATTTTACTGCATCTTCACCTAACTTGATGAATTGCAGTGACAGACTTTTGAGAATGTTGTCTCACAAGAAAGCAGATCACATAGCAGCCTAACACCATGACCAAATATACAGTGGTTGGGAACTGGCACAGGACTGGTGTCTTGCCCTCCAAAGAAGCGAGTACAAAGGGACAGGTGGACAGGTGGATAGCAGCTATCAAGGTGTTTCCTCTACTAGGTCCAACCTCACAATTCAGCAGTCCAACAATGGCTGGCTTTTAAAAAGGAAGAGCAGAGCCATCGATGGTGCCTTAAGTGCACCAACTTGTGTTTCAAGGTGTACGTCTGCTTTAGCCAGATTTCAAATTCCACACAAACAGGTCAGTGAAATTTCACTAGCCCCATTTTCATTAATAATCAACTTCACAAGTTTACATGTTACATTTGGGCCACAGATCACCTTGCAACTTATACACAAAGAAAACAAAAAGGTTCTGGAGATTTCCGTGTTTCAAGAAGCAAGGATGCGAGGAGGAAGGGCTGTTCATAGGTTTTTTTCATTAGGAAAAAAACTCTTTTCAAAGAACCTCCTAAATCCAAAAAGCACTGTACAAAACCAAGCATGGGCATATTGAAGAGCCTTTTCTCCATGCCTAGCAATGATAGCAGACGCTTGGGGGAGAAGGGAAAAATACGAGGGATCTGAAGTTCCATTCAGATAAGCACCCAATAGCTCTAAGACTTGGGAGCATCCGCCACATCCCTTGCCCTCCTACAACATTGTGTTCAACAGGCTCTGGCTGGCAGTTTCAGGACACTACACACTGTAATCCTCAGGACTGGGCCAATAACATAGGGGAGTTAGTCTCACTCGTGGCAGCATGATGTTGTGGAAGCACTTTTTAAAGAGGATGAATGAAAACAGGAATGGGAGCCAAAGCAGCTGTGGGGGCAGGGTATTAAAGTGTGGTCCAGTGAGAGCCATCTCCCCACCCCCCAAGGATCCCTTGGACCTAGAACCAACAGTGCTGGAAAGAACCTCCCCCACCACACACACCCCCACACTCCCTCCCCACATTAGGAGCCCAGCAATGCCTCCTCTTCTCCTACCATGAGGCCTTGGTAGAAAACCACAAGGAGCAGTCAGTCGTCAACTCCAGCAGTTACCAAGACCAACCAAAGCAGGGACCTTTGGACATTTCAGGAGAAACTGCTGTAAATTCTCTGCCTTGCGACAGTTAGCGGCAGCCACCCCCCGTCCATCACCCCTGACTCACCACGTATGTCAAGCACTGCAACCAGGAGATGTGATTACGGCACATGGACACACGCCCAGACTAGTTCTGATCTAGCCTGGTAACTGCATGGGCTAGACACCTGCCCAGGACTCAGAGTAAAAAATCCAGCAGCTTCCAGACATGTTGCAGCAATGTCTCTGCTACTGATACTTGGGCTCCCTTTTAAATTAATTAGATCACGGTGAGATCTGTCGACACATGCTACAGTTACACCTCCCAATTGCAGCACAGATATAGCCACAGTCTTCTCACCTTACCATGCATCTGACGAAGTGGGTCTTTGCCCATGAAAGCTTATGCTCCAACACTTCGGTTAGTCTATAAGGTGCCACAGGACTCCTCGCCACTTTCTCACTTTACCGTCACTCTGCACAGTCATCCCCCTTCTCCTCTTCTGCCTTGTCCTATTTGTTACCAGATTTGCCCAATACTCTGGGATGTGCTCATTTATTAGGGTTACTCTTATGGGACTGGGGGGAGGTTACCAATTCTATCAGTTTGCTGCTTCTGCTTATTTGTGCTCTCATATGGAGCTGAATTCTCTCTGCTGCCAATTCCCCCTCCCACTGGAGCTCTCCTACGGGAACTAGGTTCCTCAGGATGGGGTTCTTCCCACCTTAGCAACACAGAGACACTCACACCCATTAACAGAGCACGTCTAAGATGAGGGGTCAGCGTATGAGTGCTGATTACCCAGTCCTATGTCCCTGGACTCTGCAGGCTAGGTTTAACAGCAATGCCACACTGCACCCTCATGTGCCTTTGCATTCAGTGGGCTGAATTAAACTGCACTTTTAAGCTACCATCCTCATATGCCCCCAGGTTCAGCACCTCCTAATCCCCACTTTCACACCACAATCATTCACTAGTAAACCACACGATGAACAAACCCCACAGGATTTTGGGCACTACAGGGATCTTTAGCTTGGGTACAAGAAGTGTTGTTGCAGAGTGAATGGGGAAGCCAAAACACCACCCCTGAAGGAAGAGTGAACAACCAGTTTAACCATGAAAGTTATTTATTTCCAAGTAGTAACCGTACAAAGGAAGCCGAACACACAAAACAGTTACAATATTAAAATTTGTATATCTTTTTCCGACTTTTCTTTGTAGTGTAGACACAGCCTCAGTGTAAGTCATTTTCACTTTTTTTCCTTCCTACAGTTAGTCTAGGTAAAGAGAGAAGCAACCAGCTTCACAATGAAAGTTAATTATACATATAGGAAGCCGAACACACAAAACAGTTACAATATTAAATCTAAATTGCAACTGATTACAAATGTTAGGTCTAGCTAACCATGTAACAGTTTATATAGGGCAGTCAGGAGGCTAGGCTTAGAGACAGGTAGTTGGTGGGGGGGATGGGGGGGAAGGGGAGAGAGAGAGAGAGAGAGACCTCACCACTCTGTGGAACTTGAACTGATCGGGGTTCCCAGATGATGATGGTAGCTGGGGGTCCAGAGGGCAGGAGACAAGCAGAGCAAAGCCCCCAGTACAATCAGACAGGAGATGAAGAAATCTCAGTGGAACTGATGCAGTTTTAATCTAGGTATCAGAACAGTTTTTCTTGGGGCAAAGATAGGAGTTTTTATAGAGATAGGACAATACTTCAAAGAGAAAGAGGCGAGACAATAGAGACTGATCACCCCTGGTTATGGGGGATGTTCCTTGAACGAGCTCACAATGCAACTAAGCAGTTGCAGTATTTTGGATGTCAATAGGATCATTACTAGAATTGGTCTGATAATGACTAATTTGGGTGAGAGTAGGCCTAGGTTCATTAGCATTTGGAGTAGAGATTTTCCATCAGGCAGTGCTTCTCGGCTTTCAGTATCCCATAGTTCACTGTGGTTCCTCCTTGCAAGAGCTGGTCTCCATTCTGTATGCTAATGAGATGTAACTCTGTTCTATCTTTAATGCAGATGAGACTGGGGTATTTCCTTAATTAGTTTAGGTGTGTCTTCCCCTGCCTTTTCCTTGCTTTGTCTGATTCTAGCAGAGGCCTAGGGGAAGAGGGGGGAATAGTTTTCCATGAATGTCACTCCCTGGCTCTCCAAGAGCACAGGGCTGGTAGGTAACATTCTGCCTCCTTCCTTTTTCTTAGCTGATCTCTTCCTTAATACCCTACACTGGAGGTTTTCAAACTATGGGTCATGACCCACTACTGGGCTGTGGAATGTCAGGCAACGGGTCTCATTGCTGCAGGGGGACCAGATGATCAGTGGGGGTGCTAAGGCAGCTACCTGCTTGTCCTGATATCACAGACTGCACTGTGCCTCAGAAGCAGTCGCAACAGGCTCAGCTCCTTGGTCGAGTGAGGGTGGGCAGAGCACACAGGGCTTCATGCACTGCCCCGGCCCCGAGCACTAGCTCCACATTCCCATTGGCCAGGAACACACTGCTGGCTGCTTTTGGGAGGCAGCATGGTCTGCAGTGCCAAGAGAGGCAGGAAACTGCCTTCGCATCCCTGCTGCACTGCTGCCCAGGAGCTGCTCAAGTTATGCCCCACCTGCCCCAGTCGTTAGCCTCCCCCCAAACCTAGAGCTGCCTCCTGCACCCCAAAGCTCTCACCGCGCTCATCCTCAGCCCCATGCTAGAGCCTACACTCTAGTCAAATTACATTGGGTCACAAGAACAATCTATTTGATCATGCTAGTAATGAGAATGTAAATAAAAACAGAAACTGGCTTTCAGAGAAGTTAATAAAGCCACAGACACTGAAAATAATTATAGCTACTTTTTGAAAACCATTAGCTGATAAGAGATGTCATAGAATACAACAGAAAATAGCTTCAACCTACTATATAAAGAGGATCCCTATAATTTAAGCACAACACTGGCAAGAGAGAAAGCTAATTAATTACCTTATGTTCCATGCAGCCACCACTAGCAGCTCCACATAATTTACATGCCAGTGCATTTCTGGAAAGCATGAACAGCTGGCAGACTGGGATAATGGCATTTTCCTTCTGAAAGCAGTAGATTACCTAGGGGCTTTTGAAGTGTATATTTATATTAATCCATCCAGCATTTAAACTTTGCCTGTTATATTCTCTGTGATCCCGGTAGAGTTATAATGAG